TTGGTGGTGTTATGCTTTCCAAGGGGGGGACAAAAATCTCAACATCAATTATCTTTCTGACTACCTTCGAATGGAAAGTTAGTTACAAAACCAAAATCATAAAGGAGAAGGTTGCACACATTATGGAGATACGAAATATACTAGAGAAACATGTTTTAAACTACATGGTTATCAAGATTGGTGGCACGAACTCAAGGCAAAGAAAAAACATGAAACAAATAGAGGAGACAATCTTGGTCGTGCTACTTTTATGACGTAGAGCCTCACTTATCTCTTGTGCCACAACAAGAATCTTTTACCAAATAAATTGCTTAGAATGAATCAGGTAACCAAGGTTGTGTTTTTTTTTTTTTACTATAAAACAAGGAACCATGATGGCTGAATCATTAACTCGGGGGCAATCGACAACATGACATACTTCTCTGAAACTAGCCAACCGAAACGGACATGCATTGACAATGCCAACAGAGTAATATATCTAGTAATAGGGGCTGGAACAATTGCTTTTTCTCCTATTTTTTCATTACCAAACACTTTCTTAGTTCCATCACTTTTTAATAAATTTTTATCCATTGGATAAGTGATTGAGGAATTGAATTGTTCTACTCTAATATATCCTAACTTATATTTATTTCAAGATATTTTCACTGAGGAGATTATTGATCGTGGTATTAAAATGTGAAGAGCTTTGTGAATGGAGATTTTTGTGAAGGAATTCTCCTTTGTTTTTCTCTTATTAATTTCAGGCACCAAAGGGTGCCATTTATAGAAGAAAAAGGAGGCATCTTTTCAGGAATGTGTGATAACACATTTCTGTTGTTATCATGCCACCTCACCTTCTGGAAGAATGACACTTCACCTACTAGAAATATTCCACTTTTTGTAACATAATGGAGAATAAGAAGTACCTAATTTATTACAGCATTTTCTACACTCTCCCTCAATCTAGTTTACATATATATATTGAGTAAACTTAAATTGGATACAATATTATCAAATATCCATTTTGGTAGTGCCTTTATTAGGATGTCAGCAACTTGTTGATTTGAAGGGATGTGCATAAGAGTTATGGTTCCATCTTCAATCTTTTTTTGATGAAATGTCGATCTATCTCTACATGTTTGGTCCTATCATGGTGTACTGAATTTTTGGTTATGCTGATTATTGATTGATTGTCACACCACACTTTTATAGAAGTATCAATATATGCTTTTAATTCTAGTAGTATTCTTCTCAACCACATCCCTTCACAAATTCCATGTGCAAGTGCTTGAAATTCATATTCTGCGCTGCTACGGGATACTACTGACTGCTTTTTGCTGTGCCATGTGACCAGATTTCCCCACACATATGTGCAGTAACCAGAAGTGGATCTCCTGTCGGTTATTGATCCTGCCCAATCAGTATCAGTAAAGACTTCAATATCCCTATTTATTTTCTTTTGAAAAATTAGCCATTAACCCGGTGTCCTTTTTAGGTACCTCAAAATTCTGTACACGACCTTCATATGTATTTCTGACAGTTGATTCATGAATTGGCTTACTGTACTAACTGCAAAATTGATGTCTAGTCTTGTATGTGCCAGATATATTAGTTTTTCGACTAGTTTTTGATACCTCTCTTTGTCAATAGCCTTCTCACATTCTGTAGATCCCAGTTTCATTGTTGGACCCATAGGTGTATCCGCAGGTTTACAACCAAGCATACCTATTTCTTTTAAAAGATCTAGGACATATTTCTGTTGTGATACGGAAATTCCTTTCTTAGACCAGAAAATTTCCATACCTAGGAAATACTTGAGAATTCCAAGATGTTTAATTTCGAATTCCTTGGCTAGAAACTCTTTAAGTCTTCGAATTTCCTCAATATGATCTCCTATGAGGATAATATCATATACATACACAATTAGAATTGATCTCTTACTTGAGATACAATGTTTGACAAATAAAGTGTGATCTGATTGACACTGCTCATACCCAATATGTTTTACAGCCCTTGTGAATATGTCAAACCAAGCTCTTGGGGATTGCTTGAGTTCATACAGCGATTTCTTGAGTCTGCAAACCTTGTGAGATTGATCTTCTATATCTAAACTTGGTGGGATATCTATGTATACTTCTTCTTCTAGATCACCATTCAGAAATACATTTTTAACATCCAGCTGACAAAGGGGCCAATCAAGATTTGATGTAAGAGAGAGTAGTACCTGTATTGTGTTGTGCTTGGCGACTGGAGCAAAGGTCTCCTGATAGTCTATACCGTAGGACTGAGTAAAACCCTTGGCCACAAGGCGTGCTTTGAGTCGATTTAAACTCCCATCTGGGTTGTACTTGGTCGTGAATATCCATTTACATCCAACTGGTCGTTTCCCTGGAGGTAGCTAAGACAATTCCCATGTCCCAGTTTTTTCAAGATCATTAATCTCTTCTTGAATAGCTGTACTCCACTCTAGTATTTGAAGAGCTTTATGGACTGTCTTTGGTTTTGGAGAACTGCTGTCTAGTTTGCTCACAAATGCTTGATGTTTTAGAGATAGATTATCGAATGATACATAATCTTGTATGGGATATTTTGTGCATAATCTGATACCTTTTCTCACAGCAATAGGTAAGTCAATATTAGTAGTAGAGTCAGTAACAAGTACCTCATTACCTGTTGATTCGTTAACCATTAAAGTGGGCACGGATTAATGGCAAGTTCTGGTTGGTTTCAGTACTTGTTCCCTACGAACTTTATTCCTTCTAATATAGACACGTAGCTCATTTACTGCAGGTAGTGTACATTCAGTTTCTGCTACAAGTTCTGGTTTAAGATTAGGCTCTAGAGGAGGTGAATTTTGTGGGTAGATGGAAGGGATGCTGACATTCCACACTCGATATTCCTAAGTAGAATGCTCTCCCTAAATATCAATAGTGGGATAAAAAGGCTGGTTCTCAAAGAAAGTGACATCCATTATATTATAGAATCGTCGTGTATCTGGAAAAAAATATTTGTATCTTTTTTAATTTGATGAGTATTCAACAAAGATACATTTAAGGGCTCTTGGGTCAAGTTTTTCCCGAAGATGTGAGTGGATATGAATGAAGTCAGAACACCTGAAAACTTTAAGTGGTAGTGAGTGTAAGATATGTGAATCAGGAAAGTTCTGAGAGAGAATATCATATGTTGTTTGAAAATGTAAAATGCGGTTTATCATATAAGTCGCAATGAGTATTGCCCTTTCTAAAGAAACTTAAGAACATGGGTAGTGAACATAATGGATCTGGCGACTTTAAGAATATGTCTGTTTTTTCGTTCGGCTATGTCATATTGCTGAGGGGTACATACACAAGAAATTTGGTAAATAATGCCATATTCCTCAAAGTATTTTCCAAGAGTGGTTTCAAAATATTCACAGGCATTATCAGTTTTTAGTACCTGTATAGTGGTATGAAACTGGGTTTGGATCATAGTATTAAATCTTTTGAAAATGGCTCCTACTTCAGATTTTTCTTTCATTAGGAAGACCCAAGTTATTATAGTATGATCATCAATAAAGAATAAAACCCACTTATTTTCGGATATGTTGGTAACCCTGGAAGGTCC